AAGAAGCACCTTGGATAATCTCCAGAAATCAATTTAAAGGGTAATAAAATAATTGCTGATGTAATATTTTTCCTATTACTATTACAAAAACACAAAATAAGTATAAATAAGTATTTATATTTGTGTACAAGCTGTTTAGATTGTCAAAAAGCCTGTGTTTTTAGGGTTATTAATGAAGTTCATGTACTCAGAACAGTAATATTTGGGGTCACAAGTTTTTGCAATGGATATTTTGTGGGTCAGAAGATAAAAAGTTTGGGAACCACTGCATTAGAGAAATATACTATTTAATGACAATATTCTTAAAAGATAATGTGAATATGAAACTTATTTTGCTTTTTATAGCAACAGTGGCTTTTATTCTTGTGTAATAGTAAAAAATTGCTGAATCGACATTTTTAGTTACTTGTGAGAAAAATCAAACCAAATATCTTGCTTAAAGCAAGGGTCACCAAACAAAAACTAACATACTTTGGACACATCATGAGAAGCCAGTCACTGGAGAAAGAAGTCATGTTGGGATTGGTCAGTGGCAGAAGAAAAAGAGGCAGACCAAGAACTCGTTGGCTTGATACCATCAAACAAGACACCAGCAAGAATATGTCACAATTAAAAGAAGCAGTATCAGGTGACCAATGGTTGGAATCGACTGAATGGATAAAGAAGAAGAAGAAGAGTAAAATCGGGACCATGCCCCTAAAAACACCCATAGTTAACTGATTTTTAACTGACTTTTATATGCGAATGTATTTAGAAATCACTTTTGTTGGTGTTTTACATTGTGAAAGTGAAATGATGTCCTTTCGTATGGTCCTCCATATGAAATGTCCTCATTGTTTTTGGATGTTTAGATGACTTTTGAACAACAGCGTAGCCTCGACTCGTCTCTTCAGGCAGGTTGAACTATGTGACCAAAACAGCTCACATGTTGGCCACGTTAGGAAGCATTCAGCAACGTCAACAATTTAAATCATGACTCACAGGATGGAGGAGCTGGTCAGGAGTTCATGTGACCTCAGAGCCTTTTTACTGGGATTGTTTATAGTGACTCATCAGCCTGGAGCTCCAACCTGAGCCTCAGGATGAGACGTAAAACATCAGTTTTCTACTGATCCACTTGGACCAGCACGGTCCAGATGACTGAAAACCTACAAGCTCTTCTTCAGGTGTTTCCTCAGCAACCCATCCTCCTCTACCTCACTCTGTCATCTTCATCCCCTGGCCTCAGACTACCTCCTGTCCTCTCTGACTGAAAATGAAAGTCTGAACCAACGTACTAAAACCTAATTCCATTTCCATGACTCTGAAATTAATTTAAAACAAAAAACGATTAAATAATGGTCTGGTTTGTACAAAGGAAGAGAAAAGTGTTAATTTTTCAACTATTTCAAATTTTCACAGCTTGATGTCTAGTTATTGTTGATCTTTTTCTGTAACATTTGCTTTAGTGTTGTTGACAATTCATTAAAGTGATTAAAACTTCTTTGGCCTTTGATTATTTGGTGTAGTAGTAGTAGTAATTATATATATATATATATATATATATATATACAGTATATTTGTGTTGATAAGCCTGAGTGGTCTGTTGACTGAATAATTGTTATGGGCAGGTTACAATATAAACAAATATTTGTCATAATCATGTCTTGTAATTATTTAACAGGAGTTTTACTTGTAAACTGTAAGCGTATTTAATTTAGTTATAATGCAAATACAATACAAATTAAACCAAGATTTAGAATAATTATCATTCTCATTGGTAATGTCTGACTGGGCCTCGTGCCACTTTATGTTCAACAAATTGGGCCCCGAGGTGAAAAAGGTTAAGAACCCCTGCTCTGCAGTACAGTTACTGTGTTTACACAGGGCCGACCTGGTTTTGATGGGAGCGATGTTGATGGTACACTTGGCAGAGGGACATCTTCCGTTCCCTTGATTTCCAAAAGGTTTTTGTCCAACTCTTCCTGTTCCAGCTCCTCCAGCTCTGCCATGAGATCATCCTAAACACACAGAAAACACTTTTAGTTTACAAATTATCAAAGATTTGACTTATTTAAAGACCACGTCAACGTCAGTTTTATTTACTATAAAGCCCTTTACAAACAACAAATCTGTTCTAAAACAGTTACAGAAGGAACATCTAAAAGCAAAATAAACTGATTCCACTGCTGATACCACAAATATACTGTAAATATTAAACAAAAATAATAAAAAATGTCTGCATTAGCTGCTCCTCACCTCGTCGTACTCTTCTCCAAAGCCTACGGGTCTGGATATGACGTCTGAAATTTCTTGGGCGAGTTCCTGCTGTTCTGTGATATCGGCCATCAGATCGTCTACTTTGTCTATGTCCCTACAAAATGGAAAAATATAATAAGAGGACATGCACGTTACAAAACCACAAAAAAGCAGAAACAAACAAACAACAGTTACCAGGTAAATATTTCTCAATCATAGGAGTTTTTCTGTTCATTTAGGAGAATAATCCTCTTCTACAGCTCTTGTGGGGTCCCTCAAGGCTCTATTCTAGGCCCTCTGCTTTTTAAACTTTACATGTTGCCTCCGAGGTCCATTTTTAGTAAATATAAGATTGTTTTCCATTGTTCTGCTGATGACACTCAGGTTTATCCGAGTATTAAGCCAGACTTCCTCTCAGACAATCACTCCTGAGCTGTCTGAATTATATAAAAATCTGTCCAGAAGTGAATTTCCTGAATATAAACGAAAGTAAGACAGAAGTCATCAGCTTTGGTAAAAGTATTTCTCTTGACAGTCTTGGTCCTCTGGGTTCATACAGCTGTATAGCTCTTCTGTCAGAAATTTAGGTTTTAGTTTTGATAGTGCCTTGGATAGACAGATAAACTTTATAAATAATTTGACACTGACAATCAAATAATCACAGGATTGAAAGAGGAAGGATTAAAAGGGGGTCAGCTGAATTTTGAAGTTTGAAAATCCAACATATTTGGTTAAATGCATAGAAACCATCTCCAGAGTTTAAACCTACATGTTTTCATGTGCTGCTTTCATTGCTTTAGCGGCGAAGCCCATGTTTTTCAGCACTTCTGTGTTGGTGTTGGCGTTCTCCAGAGCCTCCCTCTGGAACTCGATGGTGGACAGCGTGCCGTCAATCTGAGTCAGCTGCTTCTCGTAACGCTTTTTCCTCTTCAGGGCCTGCAGAGCCGCTGGACAGACAGAAGAGAAACAAAAAAACGTCAGTTCAGAAAGTTTTACAGGACAACAAGCCACTCATCTTTTCTACAGGGAACAAAGACTCATAATTTATTTATCCATTATGTTGCTTTACATTTTGTAAAGTCCAACATTTTTAATTCAAAATACGTATGCGTTAGAGCAGTGTTTCATAAAGTTGGGGTCGGGACCCAAAGTGGGGTCCCGAAACATCAAGGTGGGGTCCTGAATTTTCTGAATTAATTACATTTTTGCCTTAGTTGTTACAAAGGAGTGAGGTTAGTGTATTTAAAATGGATAAATGTAGTATAAAAATATTGTTACTATGCCCATGTTTTGTTGACCTGATACAAATGTTTATCATCCAAAAATAGCTGGGGGCTCAGGTCTCTACTGTTATTTTG